TATAGAAAGACCATATTCACTGTTTCCCAAGCATATTGTTCCTCATTGAAACATGTACTACTGAACGTAATATAAAGACCACCTGCCTGTCAAGACCACTTTTGAAAAATTGACATTTTATAGTTATTTTGTGTGTCACGGTTGTAACAATGGGAAAGTTGTCCACAACTACCTGTACATCATGGAGATATTACCAATTCAGACAATTTGAAGAGCCCATACCTATAGTGATTACAACTTTTAAAAAATCAGAATTTTCTCATTCTTTGTCCAATTTCATTCAAACTTTCATCGGTTATTAACTTCTCTGATTTGTTTCTGCTTTCCTTTAGAGTACAGTATGTATTTTGATATCAAGGTGAGGTTTTCCTTTAAACCGATGCGTTCAAAGCAATGCAAATCTCATGTTAGGATTGGCAAATGTAACCTGTGATTTAAAACTCACTCGTCATTTTGTTTCATTAAGACACATGTTTAAGGTTGAATCCTATCCTAAACTATTATTCAGAATCTTGACAGAGTGACTTGGAATTGTCCTCACTCGTTGATGAAAGAGAGAGTCTTTACCAACAATTACTGGTGACAATGCGTGGTTACCTCGTACGGTTTCACATCCAGATTGAATGCCGAGCAGCTGTGACAATAGAAATGTGTTTTTGGTATTAAAGGTATCGCTTAACAATGTTAAATCTGAGATGCACGACCCTACATGTTATCAGTGTCTGTGATATGGTGTTAAATTGTGCTTCAAAATGATCAAGAAGTACCTCAAAAAAGTAAAAACTTTTGAGTTGTGCCGTACTCGTTTTCCCCCAATAGACTGTAGTGTTATGAAAATCGTTTGGCAAATGCAAAATTTGATTTCGATTTTCAATCATAAATATCTTGATAATCAGACAGGCGATCGGCTTGTAAAAGTCATGGGGTTCCTGACTGACCTAAAGGTTTATAATTATCATTGCAGCATGAGCTTAGTCAAGGATTTTTTGAAAGGATCTAAGACAAAGTTATCGGATCCCTTTAAATGTCTGTCTGCACATGTCCCCATGTGATCCTTCCAACTTGTCAACTTTGAGATGTGGTCTAGAGGATGAGTCATCAGACATGGTAATGAAAAAGCCCATTTTCATAATGAAATCAAATTTAATGGTCAAATCATTGTTAAGTGAATACAATTATTTGTAACAGGTGTATATGAAATATAATTTGTATTAAACGAGGCACTTATCAAAGATTTGTGCATTAAATGTTATTACATTACAAAGATTGTCTATTGTGTGCATGGTCCAGGTTCAAATCAGGACCATGTACTAGTATATGCAGGACATTGATCAATGTTTGCCACTCCAGACCCAGGAGAGATATGGGAGGTTGTGGACAGACAGACAGGTGTATGTATGTATGGTGTGCAATACTGTGCATACTATACATGCATTCAGATTACCCTATTGTAAAGTGAGTTTAAAGTGCAAGTCCAGAAAACAATTATTACCAATTTCATGATTATCATTCTCATGGCCATTTCATAGATTTTTAGGCTGATGTGCATCTGTAAATTTGAGGTTATTGGAAAATGCTAGTCCTAGAATGTTGTAGCCCTTAAGTGTAAAAAGAAATAGGCATTCTGTTGTCAAAAGCATTATAGATCAGTAGTTTAATCTTATTTGAGTCGCAAAGTACAGGAAAAAAAAGCATTCATTTTAACCCTGATTCTATCCTGAGAATTTACACAGATGGAGAGAAACATGATTTGATGAACGTATACCCACCAGACGTTGTGTGTCTGGACAGTTGATTAAACGGCAATTTGTAGAAGTTTACAAGCAATATTTCATAAATCTTCTAAGAGTTATGTAGGACAATTATGATAAAAATTAAATTTTCATGAACAGTTAATAGTGCTATTTGATAAAAGAATTTCTGTTGAATCCAAAGGCAAATAAGTTTTATGTTTGTTCAGTGCCTGGATACCCGACCCCCTATCATACAAGCGTTAGGCTTAGCTAGTACAAAAGGCATTATTAAAATACGCCATTAAAAAACTGGTTGCTTTATGTAATTTGAACAGTATGACTTGATTCTGGTGTGTATGAACATGCCTCTTATGCTGAGTGAGAACAGGACACGGGATTGGAGATCTAATTAGCTGGAATTAATAACGCCAATATTAAGATCCCAATCTAGGTCAGGGTCACATGGTGGAAAAGCACTATCGTTAGGAAAAATATGTCCCCCTAATGCCCGCCATCAAAAGTTTAATATCTGATCCTTGGGATTTACAATCAGGGAGTGTGTGACTGACACTTCTTCTGTAAAGCTGCAAAGAATTAGGACGACTTTGTAGAATTGTAGATATATCTGTCCCAGTGTGCAGTGGAATCATTTTTTGGGGGCTAGAGATGGGGAGCTTGAAATGATGGCTCGAGAACAAGCCATAGAGCAAATAACACTGAGTTCCTATATGAAATCTTTTTATTCAGATGGCCATATCTCGGCCAATACTTAACATATTCAATTGGTTTTCGACATTTGGACATTATTTTTTATGCTAGTTTCTTTTGGAAAATGGAAGAAAAAATTGAGAAATCCTAAAAGTAGATTTTTATGACGTCACAGCTTTGGTACTCTATACTTTGCTATATATTAATGACCAGTCTTTGCTTTAGGTACAACAATGGGCATCTAGAAGAGAGACTCGTTGAACTTTTTTTTAATTCAAGTTTGTTTATACAATCAACATGTGTGTATGTATACAACAAAGATTAAAAAAGAAACATGTTCTACTCGTAATGAAGTGGGAAAAGCAAAGGCCAACGTACAGGCCTGTAAAGGTAATTACCAGACAAAATCAAATTACATGAAATGTATAGTATTATTGATTAAATATCTACTAAAAACAAGTTCAGAAATGAAATGTATTTCATTTTTTATTGCTGGGCATGCTCCTGCAGCTATATCCCTATTCCCGTGTGATTTTGTGACTTTATGCCACTTTATGCCACTAAAATTCTGAAGTCAGTGATAAATCTGCTAGCTGTCCATCTTTCAATCGTTGCTTGTGTTTATTTAGGCGTCTGTTATAAAATAACCTGTCATCCAAGAAGCAGATGACGCGAACCCCAAAACATGACCTATTAGAAATGAGGCCTATATATTCTGCTCCCTTACATGGATTGTGTTGTTCATTTCCATTTTATGGCGATCCATAAGGGGAGGGTGGTTTCCTCTGTTTAATAGAAAGAGGAAGATTCAAGTACCGATTTGGACGTTTGGAACAATCGGTCTGTCATTAACTGACCAAACTCTTGTCTGAACCTACGGTCATCAGACGATGAAGCAGACGTCTGCAAGCCAGGGTTGCATGCGTGTTCTCATTTCTCTAATCGAAAGCATGGACCTACAGTACTCAAATATAAGTTAATCTTACCCCTTGTTTAGACTGCAGAAATTAATCATCATGCCATACAAAAGCATCATATCTTTTGAAATAAGAATACATTTTTTTTTGTCAGAATGTTTCATGATTGAATGCATTTTTTTTAAACATCATTTCAAATGAAAGCTTGATTATGAAGAATCAGGGTTTTGTTCCTATCAAATCATCTTGGCATTCAAAAACTTTATAACTAGGCGGGGCTTATGTCGAGCGTGCAACTGCATGCACTGATAATTGGCTAGCGGTCACGTCAACTTCAAAACTAGTTCTTTGATACAATGTTTCTTTGTACAATGTGTATTCTTTGGTTTATGATGATTCTTTATACAACTTTTCTTTATACAACGTCTCCTACTTTCTTTATTATGAGTTCCATATGAATGACCACTAGTCTGAACAGACTAGAAGTTACTTTTAGAGGGATGCATTGAGCGGAGTTACTCCAAACCTGATTATTCTCATCATTTTATTCTTATTCCTGATGCAAGTCTAAGGGGTGAATGGCCTAGAGGTCTCGGCTAGTTATAGATCGAGCCCCTCTATTTTATCCCTGCCCCCTATCCTCCCCCTCCTCTCTTCCTTTTGCACACCTGTTGCAAATTGTTAAGCAACCAGTGTACAGGCAGTTTCAGTTTGGGTTTTATTTTTTTTAACCCATATTTCTTTTACCCATTTTGTACTTTCACTAGATGACTTCACTTTTTTTCTTTTCAATAAACGAACTATAATGAACAAAATAGATTGTAGATTTAGTTTGATGTTGGTGAAATGAGAATGAACGGGCAATTTTCTTTCATTAAGGAAATGTATTAATGATTAATGATAATGATAATGGTATTGAATATTTAGGAGCACTAAAAACGTATCATAGCGCTTACAAATTATTACAAATATATGAAAAGCGGACAAAAAATGTCTCACAGGAAGTAGATCACACATATCACAGGGGGAAAGGAAGTTTTGAGGGAATCTTTTGAAGGTGGCAAGACAGGTAATTTCCCTTATGGAAAGAGGGATGCTTTTCAAGTTAAAATTAACTTTAAGTTAACTTGTCGAGTACTGAATTCTGAAATGCTCAGAGGCTTGATGGAGGAACCACTCTATTCCCGTAGGCAGCAACTTATAGTGTAACCATGAATATTAAAAGTATTAATCACCCCTTTTTTGGTTTTGAATTTCTTCTGTTACAATTCTGCATTTTTCGCTTGAATTTTTTTATGAAGTTGCTATACTTGGAAAACGACTGAGAATGAGATGAACAGAGAGAAAGAGCCAAGCAAATATAGAAATGGGAAGAGAGAAAAATTCTGAAGAGAGAGAGAGAGAGAAAGTGAGAGATAGCGGGAGAAATAATGTGTGTGAGAATTTGTGTGAGAGAGATAGAGAGAGAGAGAGTGAAGCTAGGAGTGAAAAAAAAAAGCATGTGAGAGAAAAAAAGAGAGAGATATATAAACAGAGAGAGAGAGAGAGAGAGAAAGAGTGAGAAATAGCAACCGCACCACAGACAAATACATCAATAAAAAGGTGGATAACAATAGAACTTTCTTTTCTCTTTGAATCCCAGTGGACTAACACCTGAGTAAAAGACTAGGATATTCCTGACCAAATTCTTGCTCTAGTCTGGCCACCTTGCCTTCCTGCACCCTTTCCTTAGCTCTCTCGATCCAACCGCAACCCTTGTCCCTCGGCAGATGTTCTTCCACCTTGCTACCAAGCTGCAGATGCTTTAAAGGTGAAGACTAGTTATGGTCATGCGATTGCATTGTGAAAGAAACGTCGTAAAATCGATCAGAAAAAGTTGATCATCTAGCATATGAGAATTGGTGTGTATTGCAAGGTTCTGGAATCTTCAAAATGATAAGAAATTTGGCCCAGTCTTGATAAAGTTACAAGCACTGTACACAGAAAGATGTACTGGTATATGGGACTACCCCCATACATGCGCGACATGTGCATTATATCTATCACGTCCAAATAAATAATAATGTACCAAATATATCAATTAGTACATGGTTTCTCTGCAAAATTTGTATGATCACGTATTAGTCAAAACATATTCTTTCACATGATTGGTAATAATAGCTTCCATTTCATTTTTTGAGAGGGGGGCGTTTCGAAAACTGGTCTTTACCTTTAACGATATAGTCACAGCCACTGGGAACCTGTTCAGTGGATATTGAAACACAAGTTAGTCTAGACGATTTATAGCCTGGCTGAAAGGCATGTTTGTGCAAATAAAAAAGAACTCTAGAGGGAAAGTGGTCATTTGTAGACCTGTCTCGGAGGCACTAAACTGCTTTATGCATTCCTTTATTGATATGTTTTTGGTAATATTTTCACACATCTTATCTCATTATCTAGCATATGCTTTTGTGATAAAGAACACGAGTGAAATCATTATCTTACACTATATTTCAAATTTTGAGAAACCGCAAAACCAACCAATATATCTTGGACCCTCTAAAGAGACTGAACAGAGTTTTGTGTCTGGAAACTTTCGCAATGGTGCTACAGGGCAAGATCCCAATTTTGCCCACATACCATAAGGGCAATTATTAAATAGATGGAGAAATTGGGGATAATGCTTAGAGTTAAGGGTAAGGTGTTCAGGTTGCAGTTAGGGTTAGTGTTAGGGTTTAGTTATGGTTAGTGTTAGTGTTAAGTTATGGTTAGGCCGGGTTAATTAGGGGTACTGATAATCATGCTATAATATGAGGGGTAGGATTAGAATTATGGCTAGGGTTAGGCTTCAAAAATTTATTATACCTCTCTCTCTGTGTTGGAAAGTTACTTGTGAACAAACAAATTGCAAGGTGTGTATATTATAGTGACCTGGACTTTCCGAGGTAGCTGACCTCCTTCTTCCTGTTGACCATATACCCTGGATAGAAACTGACCCTGGTTCCTTCTCTGTCCCTCACCTGCTTGTTATCTAAAGGAACTATCGGTAGTCTAGCTTTTAAAGATCATCAGAGAGTTTACAGGTTATAGCATACCTGCCAATTAACCCTTCCGAATAATCCAGAATATTCTGATTTTCTGGAATTTTAGGACCTAGATATTCAGTTTTCACTGACGCAGTCACCATAAGCTGCGCACAATTATATTAGCACACTTTTAATGTGACAAGTTATAATTGCGTATTATTGTGGATTGACAACGTGACGTCACAATCAGTTTGTATGTTGCCTTTAAATGCCGGCTTGCTAATGTTAAATACTAAGGTGTTTTCTGAATATGAGTTGAGGCACATTACTTCTAGCCAAGTAAAACGAACTGACTTCATCCGTCTACGGAATTGAATACGGTCCCATGCAGGTGTCGACATATTGGATAAATAGAATTCAAATCAGATGTATTATTTATCTTGACACTCTATCTCTAGTAATAAAGTTAATACAATCATAGAGTATACTAAAATATGTAACCTGATTAAGAGAGTAATTAAAAAAACTGCCCTTGCGTTTTAACAGCCTGTGATGTATCACCCATACGGTGCCTATTAAACATGTTTATAGTTTCAGGGGACGTGCTTTTTTCCCAATTTACAGAGAAAAGTGTTTTGGTTTCTGATCAAATATCCAATTAATATCTTTGTTCTGATGATCTTGAGGTTTGGCTGACCTGGGTAACCTTGTACAATTTTCTTTTAGTTTCTGTACACGTTTTGCACTGTTCAAACAGGACTAATAGGTTCTGAGGAGAGTTTGCACGGCACCATTTTAGTTTTTTGTTTTTAACTATTGCAGTCAGTGGAATCTTAAAGTGAAAATAATAATCGGATCAATTTATATAGCGCAGCTACTGTATAAATATATTCTACTGCGCCGTGATGGAAACAAAACTCCATACAGTGCCTATTTTACAGACACACAATAAAAGACTATTCAAAAGCTCCCAAAAGCAACTGCATCTTCAACAAAACTTTGAAGACAGCAACAAATACCGGTAGTCTTTTCTTATGTCTAGTGGTAGGTTATTCCAAAGCTTTGGAGGGGCGCAACTGAAAGCACAATCTCCGAGAGTTACTTTTTTTGTGTGTTAGGTAGCTTAATTAGAAGCAGCTTGTCCTGTGTGCTTTACGTGCATATGATGTGATTTAAAAGATAATAATTCAGACAAGTAATTTGGGCTTTGACCATTCAATACTTTGTAAACAAGCACAAGTATTTTGAATGCAATTCTATGCCTTATTGGCAATCAATGTAACTTAATTAAAACTACAAGTACAAGGTAGCCAGCCTACGTGCAGTGGTGGGCAAGATATATAAGCAAGGACTAGGTGTTTGTCAAGGAAGAAGGGGGGGATCGAGGGATTGGCCAGCCGTAATGTTGGCTCGTTGACATTGTGTAAGGAGGATTTAAATACATGTACACTTTAGATACAAAAGTACACGGTTGAATAAGGCTAGAAGCGGCCGTGTAGTGTTTGTCTTGTTTTATTTGTTTTGTTTATTTCAAAATGATGATTAAAAATAAATCTGCTTTCAGCAACAAGGCTGTTTTTCAGCGAGTCGATATTCTAAAGAAGACAACGTTACAAAATATATCATCACTAATAATTAAAAATTATTTAAAAATGAATACAAATATTGTACAAATTGGAAAAATAAAATGGAATAGAGATAGTAGGGAAAATAGAAGAATCAGACAAACAGGTTAGGTTTAACAAACAAAAAGTATCATGATTAAAATCTCTGTAACTTTGTAAAAACTCAAGTGTAGAGTGTGGATGGAGATGAGCCTGGTTACATGCAACATCAGACCCATGTATGAGATCAGGTATAGCCTATACTGTCATGATACCTCTTCTATAACGGAGGGGATGGGAGGGAGGGGATGAGAGGGTGGGGTGAGGGGGGGGGGGTGAGAGGATTGGAGAAGGTGTAAGGAGTCATCCAGAGACTTTCCCTGAAGGGGTCTTCCATCCAATGATTTCCTGTGTGGGTTCCATAGGAAGTGGATGACACAGATCAATTTGGTAGGCATGCCGTTTCCTCCCTCGTTCATCCCGCTCTCCCTAAGGAACGCCCTTTAACCCTTTCACTCCCTCAAGCAGATGAAACAAGTGATATAGTGAATGGTAGGTTTTGTGTTGAGGTTTAATACCATTGCCATCTACAGGTAGGTAGGTACAGTAGATCACATGTGGGTCCTTCTATGAGTTGGGCCAAAATAAATTTAGTGATTTTGTGTGTTGGAATAAATGGGAAAGGTGTCCGCCACTACATCACAGAGACATTACTGATTCAGCCAATTTGAAGAGCCCATACCTAATAGTGATTGCAACTTTCAACAATTACTGTCTGATTTCATTCAAACTTTCATCAGGATGCTTCTCTGATTTTTCTTCTTTCTTCTAGAGTAGTTCACTATCAAGGTTCAAGATTCAAGATTTTTTTTTTCTCCACTTTCATAAAGCAATATTTCATTCAGGAACAGTAGCAACAATTTCATCGTCAACTAGCATAAATACATTAACAATGAAACAGTTATAAATTACTTTAACAAATGTGGAAAAGAGGTGGTCTGTAAAAAAGGACAGCTTGTTAAAACACAGATCACCTTTACAGGAACAACCTTTTTTTTTAAAAGAAGTAGATTACAAGGTTGGTTGGATTTCCCTTTAACCCTTTGATCATGGTTTGTATTGTGATTGGGTGTACATGTACATTCCCTGTGATAATGCAGCTGATCTAGAGAAGACATTCTTCCGCTGAATGTACATCACTGAAGAGAGATGGATACATGAGTATGTGACCTTTGTTGATTTCCTATGTGAATTACACTGGAAGTGATCACTTGCCTCTGATTCATGATATTCAGCCTTGTCCTCATTAGCCCGGGTTTGGCGAAAATAGCCTGCTTACTCTGAGTCCTGTTTCATCAAACTTGCTATCAACTAAATTTCTATGGCAAATTTGCTCTCAGTCAATCAAATGCCACAATTTCAGTAGCTTATAACAGTTATTGTAACTTGTCATTGATAACTAGTTTGAGGAAACGGCACCCAGGGTCTGGCGAAATCGCAACTTACTTGAGTTTTGTGATTTGCAGTGAAAATGCAATTACAAGTCAAGTGCTGCTAGCTATCCTAAGTAAATTGGGGCTTGCTTGTGAAATAGTTCATTATTTGGAGACAAAACAGAAGCTAAATCACTGATGGAAACTCATTTGAAATATGCTTTTCCTGTGCCTTGAGACAATTATTTGTGCAAGTCTGGACTGCTCGACTTCAGGGAAACTTCGAACATCAAACTCAAACTTTTTCCTCAGAAGTGCTAATTGGTTTAATATCTCAAGCATGAGGTTGTCTGGACTAATGGGAATGCACCTCTCTAGAGGAGTTTGTTTGGTGAGAGCCAGAAGGCAATAACAGCAAAGAAAATGAGATGATTTAATATCCTTCTGGCTCTGAGAGGCCGATTTGTAGATTGAGACATCCATGAGGAAAGCGGTGTAGGAAGTGATCTATCATGCCCTAATACTCCCCTTAAAATGAAATTAATTAGGAGGAATTCTAAATATTCCTTCCCAATTTGTTTCCAGTTCCTGGCAGCTACAGTATAGGGCTTTAATCACAACTTCAAAAAAAGTGTTGTGTTTATCATATGAAGAGATACCTTTATGAAGAGATTGACTTTAAGAAGAGATACGAGCTTGCGCCTTTCTTACAGAAATTAAACACATACACATGTACATACATGTAGATGCATTATGAAAGTAAGTCCCGTGAAAATTATTCACTGCTCACTGTAACAATGAGACAAATAACTAAAAGTAACAATTCAACACTTGAAAGATCATCTCGAGAAGGGATTAAAATGCAGCTTTTTAAAGTAAAATATAAAACTGGTAAAGTGGGCCGGGAAGCTGGGGTAGAGTTGAAATAAATTTACAAATGTGTGTTAACTCTTTTCCACTAATCCTCCACCCAACAATACTGTTTTGAATAGAAGGTGGTAATGGGTACTTAACAGGCACTTAGGAGGCTGATAAGTCAAGGATGATAATCCTCTTAACTGCCTCTTAACAGGTCTCTAGCCCCTTTGATTTGTTAAAGTCAGGTCAATTGTCCACTCCTGCCTTTCAAGTGGAAGCTAGGTTTGGGATCTCTGTCTCTTCATTAGGAGACTGTGTTTAAGGGTTTGGGGTGCAACTGTGACGTTCTTTCAACAGTCACGTCCTGAAAACCTTTCTTTTTCGGGCATGAAGATTTAAGAAATCAAAGTTTATGCAGTGGTAACTTATTGTTTTGGTTTGTTTGGAGAGCAAGAGAAGAAAGAGTGAAAAAGGTAGAAGGAGAAAGGGAATATTGCTAGAGAGCAAGGTTTTTTTTGAGGGGGGGGGGGGGGGGGGGAAGGGGGAGAGAAAGACTTGGGTTTTTAAATGCATATTTGAACAATTTATTTGCCAAATTTTTTAGATAAGGTCTAAACAAAGAACGTTACAGCATTGTCAATTTGAAGACTCTTCTTGAGATTCCGATTGTGGAGATTGCTATTAAATCTCAGTGCGAACAGTCCCAAAGCCTGCATCCTGTCACCAAGACAAAGAACGTCAGATCGTAGCAGTAAACGATTGTCTTCTGAAACGCGATACATTCATTTTGAAAGTGTCAAAACCTCTAATAGTGGGTATCAACAAAAGAACCACGGTCTTGAAAGTAGGTTTTGGGGTTTTTCGGTCTAATGGCGTCTTGAGGTGTATTCATTATCATGAATACTCGGGAGTTGCTGCATCATTATTCAGGCAGGTTTGACGGATTAATAAGGAAACGTTAGAAAACTGCTGTTAGGCAAGTCAATTTCAGGATTGGAGTGAAAATGTGCGATCTCCATGGTAACGTAGAGTGATGTGGGAGATTGGAAGTACAGGGAAGGAGGAAATTGGGAGGAGGGAAACATGAGAGCAGGCCTTGAAGAGGTTTAATGAAGATTTGTGGGTGAAAATTTACAGAAAAGATGACATTTGAAGCACTTGAGCTTGGATGAAAGAAAGCAGAAATGAAGAAGAAAGACAGAGAGAGAGAGAGAGAGAGAGAGAGAGAGAGAGATTGATGACATGGGGAAATTTTGGATATTTGAATAGCGTTTTAATTAGTTTCTGACAGCAGATCTCAGTAAATTGCCCGCTTTTGTGGGTTTGACGTATATTTAAAATATGAAGACGTGGAAGATGAGGTGTATGAAAAAGAAGTATGGAGGTATATGGCTGGTAGATGTGAAAGTTAAAGAGAGAGAGAGAGAGAGAGAGAGAGAGAGAGAGAGAGAGAGAGAGAGAGAGAGAGAGAGAGAGAAAGAGAGATAGAAAGAAAAGAGAGAGAAAAAAAAGAGAGATGGGGAGAGAGAGAGAGAGAGAGGAGGAGAGGGAGGGGGGGGGGGGAGATGGAGAGAGGAACAAGTGGGAAGGGATGTAGCAAAAGAGGAAATGAAAGACAAAGAGAAAAGGAGAAAGAGGAGAGAGAGAAAGAGAGAGGAGGGAGTGATGGAGGGAAGGGGGGGGGGGGGGAGAGACACAGTCAGACAGACAGAAAGACACAAAGATAAGACAATGTATAGAGATAGAGCAGGGAGCTGAAAGAGTTGGAGTATGAATATGGAGAGAAGAGAGAGAGAGAGAGAGAGAGAGAGAGAGAGAGATGTACATGTACACATAAACTTGAACCTTGTACCTCATCAAAACAATTCTCAACCTTCTGTACACATCACTCATAGAGAATCACTATTCTATTCCTGCTTCATCACCCTGCTAATTAATTGGAAATCAGGATCATGCTGTAACTCCAGCTATCTAACCATCGCTAGGTTACCGTATCTGTTCATCAGCGAGGATAGGAAACTCGCTATTATAGTTGCGTCGAGATCAATTTGGCGTTTGGGAGATGGGCCTCTTAATTGAGATTAATCCTGTCATGGATATATATACTTTATTTTGTTAAAGGCATTGTTGAACAATGTTTCCAGTTTTACAAATCTGAGATGCATGGCCCTACCTGCTACCAGTGTCTGTGATATGGTGTAATATTGAAGCCCTAAACAAAGTGTGCTTCAAAATGATCATGAAGTGCTTCAAAAAAGTAAAAATCATTGAGTGACCGGTTTTACCATACTCATTTTCCCAATACAAGTAAACTGTAGTTTAAAAAAGTGAAATGTCTAATTCCAATCATGAATATCTTGATAATCAGACCAATGATCAGCTTGTAAAAGCCATGGGATTCCTGGCTGACCTTAAGGATTATAATTATGGTTGCAACATGAGCTAAATCCAGGATTTTTAAAGAATCTGAGGCAAAGATACCCAATCCCTTTAAAGCTTAAAATGAGGACTATTAGAATATTCTGATCTAAAATGAGCAGTCATGAAACCAATGTGAAGATGCAAGAGATTTAATGTATAGTAGAGAATTTGTAGAGATTTTTTTTGTTGCATTACCAAAAATGTCTTTCTATTTTCATTGCTTCTTAGTTTTACAAGTTGTAGTTACAACTGATTCATTGCAAACTTTCCTATTTTCAGAGTATTTATTTTCATTAAAATGGAATGAAAAAATTGATTATTGAAAAAACATGCTTTCATAATAAAGTCATTAGGAATGTTTTATAAATGGATGATGAAGTAAAACAGTCATCTGCTACATCATTTTTGTAGATATTTTAACTGGATGAAAAGGGCACAATTTTGTTTTTAGCTGCTAGAATCAGGATTTTATCCTGATTCTCTATTCTCACTTCTCACATAGAACAAAGCAGGAATAGGAAATATTAAAATGGAAAATGTCAAATTTAATCAAATTTCACTTGGCAAATGAGCTGAGGTCTCCTACATAATTTGTCAGAAAATACTTATTTAAAATTGTTTTGACATTAACAAAAATGAGTGTAACATATCACTAGTTCCCAAAGCAGATATCAAGTTTGATAATTTTAGGTTATGATGTGGAATTGCCCTCTGTTTTACATCAAATCTGTCCAAATATCTCTCCTATATCTCCCTTACTGCTTCGTTTAGGAACTGTTAACAATCCTGCTTCACTCCTGAAAATGTGAATGCACGATATATGAATCAGACCAAGCACTTAATGGACAAAAGAGGGTCGCGTGGCATCGCACAATAACAAGCCTAAGGCACCGCCAGGCTGTGCAATTGGCCTTGTCGGTCAGACAGGGGGATGGTAAGAGGGGCAAATATGAAATTGGCTTTGTGAATCGACGTTTATACTGTTATAACTGTGCTACCATAACATTACTTCTTGGTACTCATTGCATACAAACAGGCCTTGCATGGTGAGCTGTGAATTAAGACTGGGAGGTGTATATGGTCCAATGTGTTTTGAGGCTTGTTGTAGCTGCATGTGTTCAGGTATGTACACAAACTGTTATGAATTCGGTATTTGAGTTGTAATATTAATTTATTCTAGGCAATTTACTAATGATAGCTGGCCCTGGAAGGAACATGCACAAGTCTGCATGTATTTTACCTACATGTACCTTAGAAAAGTATGTGTAACAGTAAGCGAAAAATATAAACCATTTTAGAAATATATTCATATTTACAGGTATGTACAATTACAGTAATGAATCTTTTAAAATGTATTCCAAGCTATAGCTCCCCTGGGTCTGAATAATGCAAAAGCCTTATCTCTTGCTAGAAAAAAATGTTTACAACTTTGCAATGTGACTTTTGCAATATTATTTTGTAGCATACTTTGCAAAAGTTATTGAGGGCATTTGTATTTTAGAATGAGCCTGCAGGAGAAAGAATTAAGTCAACACAGTTTTGCCAGTATTGCGATTAATCCAAGGTATAGGTCTATCTCGGGCTTTGTTTGTAATATGGAAAACCTTATAGACATTTGTAATAACACACAGTATGCACTTTAATATGAATGTTATGAATGTTATTCTATACTTCATTCACACACAAACTTGGGCCATTGCCAAAACTTTGTCATCGAAGGTCACCTTTTAATGTGCGTGTCATGCTTCCTATTCTATCCGGCCCAGATCCGTGAGAACCTCAAATAATGTGGTTTCCAACTTCAGCTACTCACTTAAAGATAAACTTGAGTTCTGGATCCCATTTCACAAAGCCTTTTTTCAATCACAAAGCCTTTTTCAATGACAAATGACAAAAATCATTGACAAATCTGCTGATAACCAATCAGAAGCAGGGATTACGGTAGTTTATGTCAAAAACTGTCATTTGTCAGTGATGACAAGTTTTGTGAAACGGGGCCCTGGTAAATACAGAAAATAAATTCTCACAGAATCCAACAAAAGTTATGATGAATGTTTACAAATAAATAACATGTGCCAAACTTTTGGTAGAAAATGTATAGGGCTGATCGAGTAATGAGCAGAGAAGACGAAAGTCTAGGTATAAAAGTAGCCCGACATGCATTATGTGCTCAACACAGGTCTTTATGTGCAGATGGGAGTTGTGGTTTTTATTGAAGATGATGCCCAAAGGTTTTTTATTGTGCGTTTGATCTTATTTCACTGGTTCAAACAACAATGACAGGATAACAATCCAGAACAAATCAAAGTAGTTTTCTCTAAAATTACGATTCCTTTAGTATACCAGAGCTCAAGATTAGCTTTAAGTTATCCTTTTTTCTGTATGAGATTTCCTAATAACCTAATATCCTAATTAACTAATAATCCTTTTGCCAGTCTGAACATAGAATGAAGAAATGTCATATAATAAAATAAATGTTTTGAGTGTCGTTTCAAATTCAAAAATGTATCATACTAAAATGGTACTATAACGGAGCGGGGCTTATGGTGAGCATGCACTAGTGTACCCGACAGCTGTCATTCAAATTTTCTTAACTTGAGACAAGTTTCTTTATATGATGTTTCTTTGCCTTATATATGCCCCTTTTGTTCGATGATGAGTCTGTATACTACGTCACTTTTTACGTTTTGTGTTAATTTCCTGTGGCCTGAACTGATCATCAATGATTATGAGATATCACATGTCAATAGTGGGCTAACCACAAGAAGTTGTAAATGTTGTTCACTTTTGATGCTTTGCGTGTGATGATATTGTACAGCATCCTGTTATCAAGCTCAGTAATGGAGTCCTTTTTTAGATTAGTTTCAGTTGTTATGAATATACAAATACATTTTGCTGAAATATTCAGATATTCAGGTTATTGGAAATTGTCAATGGAGCAAATCAAAAACTGTTGACGTGACATGTAATCAATCGTCTGGTTTTGTTGTAATTTTATTCAATTTATCATGATTTGAGAGTAATTTTTGAAATAATAAACATTGGAGGTTTGTTTGAAAAAGGAAGATTGGGTCATTAAAATGGGAGTTCATATTTCTTTTTCTTTTGACACACATTATTGCATAATTCTGTCTCTTTTTGGGGTCAGAAATAAAAGCTTTCTTGGAATTTAAGGGTCTTTAAAATCTGAATCCTTTGAAACATATTCCATTGTTAAGTTCCATGATGATGTGTTAATACATAGAATTCAATCTTTTCCTCATAAATCTATTGGAAATAGAGAAGTTACCACCTAGAACAAAATTCAACAAATACATTTTTTTGTGGATAGCAAGTAAAATTATCCAACCTTTTGTTAAAAAATGTTTCAGTTGAACAAAAAAATCCAGTCTAAAGAATCCGTCCTGTAGAGAAAATGGTAATTCACACCAAAATTGAATGAAAATGCAACTGCACAATAGGTGTACAGAGGGAGATTTTGTGGTTTTCAGATATTTTATTTGAAAAAGGAAATTTCAATGGTGGTATGTGTGATTTAAAGAGAATACATGAGTGATTCAGATGATCTATTATTGTACATTGTGCATTCAGCTAGATGGTGCACTTTTTCACATGTATGCTTTGTCAACCTCCCCCTCCCTCAAGCAGAATGGAATTATGCATCCCTCTCAAAGAGAATGAAATATTCCTTTTGTTTGTAGTCTTGGCATTTCAAACCATAGTGGCATACATTATTGAAATCTGGACTGAAGAGGCCACTTTCTTTCAGGATAAAAATGTAGAGAAATAAGAAAAAAGTATTGCCAAAGTATTACGTATGTGAAAATGCAATACATGTACATTTATAGGCAAACCGGCTATGTTTAGAAGAATTTGTATGTATGATGTAGTGCTTTTAAATAAATGGTTTAAAGCCTATCTGCACTAGTTTGGCCAGGAGGGATTAGACCTCCCTGCATGGTTACTGGCAGGTGGTTATCTCATCCAATCAGCTCTCAATTAACATAGGAAAAAGGGGACCATGGAGGATCAATGGGTACCGCTTACAGTAGGCATTGTTGGCTTTATAGAAGGCCCAAGTAGCTACAAGAAGTGCAGTCCCGCTTTAAGAGACAGATGATGGCCTACATGTATGTCTACACTCTAGGGTATGAGCAAAATTGAGCTTGTTTCTCAAGACTATTTGATAATACCAATACATTTTGTTTGATAATCTCTTTTGTCAGTATGATTTATTTACATTCCATTTCCCAAAACACATTAAGATATTATTAGTTGAGTCATAATAGAAATGCTCCACTAAAAATGAAATAGCGAAAAAATAATCATTAGTGAAATAGCATGCTAAACCTCCATGGTGCAATGTATGAGGATATGGATACAATAGTAATTGGGATTGATTCATTGAATTTGATTTATGATGCAGGAAAGAAATAGTTCTGAGAATGTAGACTAGTCTAAAATAAACTTCTTGGAGCCCTTCAACCACTTCTCCATTCATTCGTGATGGTGAATAATGCGTTGTCTCGATTAATGCTCGTCTGCTACCTCACACGTGCCAGCTTTTAAAGAAAAAAAAGTGCGATATGGGGAGACGACCGCATTTAGAGTAATATGAGGTGATCTACCAGTAGATTTTTGCCATTTTGCCATTCATTAGAAAAAGTGATGAAATGGATGAAAGCATGAGTGGTTTGAAAATGGCTACGAGCTGATATTTATGGACGGTCTTTCTAATGGATCGTTAAATCCTCTTGTAATTCACCGGTATACGGAGGGAATCTATTTTGGCGGTTAGTTAGTAGCGGAACTGATGGACAGCTGTGGATCGAGCGGAAACTTTGAATTTGGTGTGAATATTTGAGCTTGGATTGTTACTTTTGATTGTCGTCATTTACAGTGCGGAAGGTAGGGTAAAGATGTTCAAAACTTTTCTACTTGCTTCTTGTCGCGAACAAGTCATGTGTTATTACCTTTCAGTTCTCTGCTTAGGGTGCGTTCAAGCAATACTTTTTCACCCTGGAAACATGGTTTTGCAAGATGTTTACTTTAAAACACGGTTGCGTTCAAGAGATTTCAACCAATTTTGTCTCTAAACAGAGGTCTCAATCATGATTCTATAACGCCATTATTGTGGCCTGCTTCCGGTTTGGCCGACAGTTGACTGTAAACATAGTTGACTTATACTTCCTGGGTCAAACTGCGCAGTGTGATGAGCAGTGGCTGGGCTTAAAAATGAGCGAGAATCAGCATTGATGAAAATCGCTTGAATGCTCTCCCGCAGTAACCATATTTTTTAACGGCGTTTTGATTTGTGATTCTAGCGTCAAAAAATCGCTTGAACGCACCCTAAAGCCCCTTTCAAACCGGGCCATGCGTAGAGTTGCGTATTGTCGTACGTACCACCTACGCCGAGTATATGCTACCCTACGCTACCCTAAGCAAAGGGGTACGCAAGATGGACTAAAAAAATTAGAGGCCGACACGCTTAATTTTTTTCAAATATCTTTGGTATAGACACTAGACGCAGAAAGTACGAATTTTTTAGGCAAGTCTACGCAACACTACGCAACACTATTCTACTGTACGCCATACCTACGCTACCCTACGCCAGTCTGACGAAGCAATAAAAGCTTGCGCACACAGAAAGCAACCCTGTGCTACCATAAGCAAACCTGTACGCCAGGCCTAGGTAAACGTATGCAACCCTACGCCTGTTATACGCAATCGTACGGGTAGGGTAGCAAATTGCATACGCCGTAGGTACGCGGTGCCTTTGCACAGGGTATGTAACTACGCTATCGTACGCCAGCCTACGCATAACCTATGCAGGGACTACGCCAAAGCAACATTTTTTTCATGAATACGCAGCCTAATTTTGGCGTAATCGGTACGCAACTCTACGCAGATCCGGTGTGAAAGGGGCTTAAGTCATATGGAATATTGGACTGTATGATAAATCGACTAAGTACAGGTAAATGATGTTCTCTTAATTGGTATGATGTGGTAGCCATGCTGCTAGAAAGAATGTTGTATCTTTAGTAAAGATGGTTAGGTATTCATAATTTGTCTTGATCACATAGAGATATCATTGTATGGTGGTTCATTCACTGGAACCTTTAACCCAGAGGTTGAGGGTTCAAGACATTAATCCACATTTGCCACTCTCCACCCAGGTGTAAATGGGTACCTGGCAATTTATAGGGTATGAGAATTGCAGGGCCCTCGGGAATCACTGATGCCAATTCCCTTGGTAAACATAATTATCAATATTCTTAGTATTACCTCATCAAGTTCAATTTCAAATGTATCATGTTTCTTGTCGTTCTACCAGAGATCGTATTCCAAGCTATGT